ACGTCGAAGAGCTGGAGGCCGGCGGAGGAGCGCAGGCGGAAGGCCAGGCTCCAGCCGCCGTACTCCAGCCGGTTGCCGCGCAGGCGGTAGCGCCGGCCCTGCGGCTCGCACACCTTGGCGCCGTGCACCTCGGTGGGCGTCCCGGTGAAGAAGCGCCCGCGGGGCTCGTAGCTGGAGAAGAGGTGGCGGGCGGGGGGCTTGGGCAGGCGGGCCAGGGGCAGCGCCCCCCGCGCGTGGAGCTCGGCCAGCTCCCTCACGCTGTCGAAGTAGCGCCCGTTGTACCAGAGCTGCCGCACGGCCCAGCGCCGCGGGTCGGGGTCCCGGTGGTCCAGCAGCACCTCCAGCCCCACGGGGTGCAGGAAGTAGCCCTCGACGAAGCGCTGGATCACCAGCCAGGTGCGGCGCTCGCCGGGGCCCAGCCCGCGCGGCGCGATGTCGGAGAAGGTGAGGCAGCGCCTGGAGCAGTTCTGGAAGCCGAAGCCGGTGGCCTCGAGCAGCAGCGGCTCCAGCGGCGCCACGGCCGCCACCAGCGCCTCGTGCAGCAGCTCGTACTCCAGCTGGGTCATGGGCCGCGCCCAGAAGGGCACGGCACGGCCCCCCCTGAGCCCCAGCACGCGGTAGGAGCTGGGCCGCGGCAGGGGCCCCACGGCCAGCTCGGTGACGTTGGGCTCCGCCTGCGCCCCGAAGAAGATGATGGCTCGAGCCTCGCGCCGCGGCCGAGGCCCCCCGTGCGCCAGGAACCGCAGCGCGGCGCGCTTGGGGGGCGGCAGCAGCTCCACCAGGAACAACGAGTTCTTGGCCAGGGGGCCCCCCCGGCTCGGGGCCAGGCCCAGCTCCGGCCGCTCCATCAGGAAGGTCCGCACGGCCCGGAGCTCCTCCGGGGACAGGTCGGAGAAGATGGCCGCGGGGTCCAGGGGGGCCGCCGAGGGGGGGGCTGCGCTGACCAACAGGGCCAGTGCCCAGGGCACACCCAGCAGCCACATCCTGGGGGACACGGGGACAGAGGGGTCGGCACCGGGAAGGGGGTGGGGGACAGCTGAGCCCCCCCGCTCCAGTGCCACCACCGGCAGTGCCGGCACCCCTCCAAAAACCAGGGGAATCACGAGGTGAACCCCAGCAAAACCAGAGACAGCCTGTGATGACTCCCCAGGAAAACCAGGGACACCACAGACAACCCCAATTAAACTGGGGTACCATGGAGTGCTCCCAGTGAAAGTGAGGGGCACAGTGGGGTGACCCCCGGGAAAACTGGGAGGATCGTGGCATGATCCCAATGAACCTGGGGACACCACAGGGTGACCCAAAACAAACTGGGGACACCACAGGGTGACCCAGGACAAACTGGAGACACCACAGGGTGACCCAAAACAAACTGGGGACACCACAGGGTGTCCCAGGACAAACTGGGGACACCACAGGGTGACCCAGGACAAACTGGGGACACCACAGGGTGACCCAGGACAAACTGGGGACACCATGATGACTCCCACCAAAACCAAGGGCACCATGGGGTGATTCCCTGGAAACCTGCCCCCCCCGAGCCCCCTAGGCCCCCCAAACCACCTCACCCTGGACAGGGGGAGCTCTGCACCCCCCCCAGAATGGCTGTTGAACCCCAACCCAGCTCTGAGCCTCACTGGGGTGGGCAAGGGGAGATCCCCCAGTGCCCCCAAGGAGTGCCCTGCAGGGACCACCCCCAGAACCCCCCAGGCGCCCCCCTCACCTGCTCGGGCTCTGCCGACCCATCAGTGCAGCAGTGCCAGTCTCTGCCCCGGCCCCAGGGGCACTGACCCCCCTGCCAACCCCTCGGGGGCATCGACCCCCCCTTCCCGCCCCCCCGGGGGTCACCGCCCCCCGTTCCCGCCCTCTCCCG